TGCAGGAATATTGGCCTTCGATCTAATTTTTGGAAACAAACCAACAGTACAATGATCGGATAGTCCGAATGGCGGGAATGGAGAAGGTTTCTCGTAGTGTTCTGTAAGATTAGTTAACACTTTGTCGAGTGTACGATTCCCTCTTGTTGGAAAATGGACGACTTGCGTGAGGCGGAACTGCTTAATAACTGGTGAAACATTTGCCCTGTTCCAGTCGCCAGCGAGAATTATACCTGCGCCAGGGATATCACTCTCTATCCTAGAGAGAGAATCCATCATGTAATCAAGGAGGGGCTCATCTTTGGCAGGTGGTGGAGGATGGTATACTGTACCAATGATAAGGCAGCTATAACCCCGAGGCAATCGGTTGGGCGTGATCTTGGCCCACAAAACCTCAGGGCCCTCGGGGTCAGGGAACTCATAGTCCCGTAGAATTGAGAATTTGATGGAATCTTCTACATATAGAGCCACACCCCCATGTAGCCTGTGGGTCCTATCTTTGCGTATAATGTTGTAGCCACTAATGTCAACTACGCTGTCATCAATAGAATCTTTCAGCCATGTCTCCGTTATACAACAAAGATCAAATTTGGGGGTGTTCAAAAAAATACGAAGTTCGTCTATTTTTGGCGCCAAACTCATTACATTAGACACAGCTATTGACGGTACGAATTGCAAGGTGTTTTTGCTGGCGTCGTTGTAAAGGAGGGAGGGGTCTGTTTATAACACCGTTTACCTTTCATTGTCATCCTAGCCAAAATGAACTTCTGAAACATCAGTCAATTTAAGTCACAAAAAGTCTTCCGTTATTGCAGTTACAACCATCAATTAGACCACATAGCTAAATTATAAATCTCAAAGAGCCTAGGTTTCATATTTTTATATTTTACTTTTCCATTCTTTTGCTGGGTATAAAAGATTTTCGCAACTTAGTTGACCTCTTACTAAAACTCATTAATCTTATTCCACCCTAGCAGGGGCAATGTCTATGCCAAAACCAACAGTTCCCGGAATCCTGGAATCTCACAGTGCTAAAGGGTTTCATAATTCATCGAGGAAACAGGAGTTGAGAGTTTCTTCATGTTAAACCTTCACCGCCTGCATTTGCAACTAACAAAAACTGTTTTCTCAGTTATTTTGTTATGCTAGTTTAGTGTGCTATTCTAATAAGTGTCATAAAACCAATACCAAACCAATCCAAACAGCCAATCAGGATAAAAGTAGATAGGAACCAATCAGAACTCAAAGTAAGTAAACGTGACCGGCTCCCAGCACGGGTAAATTAAAGAAAGTGATCAAGTCTTGGCCAAGTCACAGTTGGTTTTAGCCAGTATCTGATTGGTTTATATTAGAGGTTTGCGAAAATTTCTTAGCCAATCACAAAGTGTGGTGAGGGTTAAATTTTTATAGAAGCTCAATAGAACTTGGTCTACCCTACAAGAAGAGTGTTTTCGATTGAGTGGGGTAAGATCAATATTAAAACCAAAGGAATTGCAACAGCCAATCCGATGGAAGGTAGTTGTTACAAGGAGCCAATGGGAATCTACTGAAAGAAAAAACAACAACGACAACAACAAAAAACAAAACAAAACAAAACAGGCTGCTTCGAGCAATCGAAAACATGAGTGACAATTAGTTTTGCATCTGATTGGTTCTGAGAGTATTAGTGGCGTCAGCTTTTTGGACTAATCCGAGAGAGCGAGGCAGAGCAAAACCAAAACAACACCAGAATACATTCGACACTGCTCTGAAAATCGCTCTATTATGTATGTAAAGATTTGTTAACACAAGTTAAAAATATTAGAAATAATAAATATATTTTTTATAATCATTTAATTTCTCATTTGGGTGCTATGTAAGTTCAGTATAACTTCAATCGAACATCTCTTTGAGAATACTGTAAGCTACAGTATATTCGGTTTACTTTCTAGTTATTAAAGACGATAGGGAGATTTTGGTAAGCAACCACTGTGCGTGGACATGTATCAAGTAATTAGACAGAGATAGATTCTTTTTGAAACGGCTTCTTCAGTGAGTTAGTTAGTCAAGCAGGAAATTCTGGAAAAGGTGTGCGTCTGTAACCACGTTTCGTTTAAGCAGTACTATCCGTTTTAAATTTGCTGTAGTGCCAGAGATAAACAGGTACTGGAGTTAAAGAAAACAATTCGAACACACCCTAGAAACTTAACTCCAGTGCCTTTTACAGGGCAAACAAATCCCCTTTTATTTTACGTTCGTTTCCCGGCTTCTTTAGGAACTGCAGCGACTTTCACTCTATGGATATTTGACAAAATGTCAAATAAAAGAGATTGTTAAGGGAGGATAAAATTGGATTAAAATAAACTTTGTTGCAGTAATGGTAATTGTGTTACATGTTTTACGTTTTGTGTGTGTGCATATGCATGTGCTAGTGTGTTTCTGCCATTCAGATCTAACGCGTTTCTGCAAACTTCTGGATCATACTTGATACCTTGGGCGCGAAGTGAGGAGGAGTTGGACCTCGATTCCAACCAAAGGCCGAAGTCCAATTCTATACAAAAAGTCACACTTGATTCACTATCGGATTTAGCTGTTTACGTGAAACATCAGACGCCAGCTTTCCCTTTCACGTTCCATGTAAGATAGCGTGAACCTTGCTGCTTTAACTTTCCGTGAGCTCACGTCATGGTGGATTTAAAGGCGCCCATGTATGACCTACAAGGATTAGTCTTGGAGCCCTTTTCCCGACAATTTGGTTCTACTCTGCAAGGGAAAAAAAGTGAAGAAAATCTTACGTACACGGCAAGAAAGACACGTAGAAACGGCAAAGCACAATCGACAAACGTGAAAAAATGGCGGGAAAAACAAGGTCACGTGGTCACTCTTGCCGTTCACGTGGTCACTCTTGCCGTTCACGTGGTCACTCTTGCCGTTCTCGTTTCACGTAAACGCTGTGCTCTAAATCTCCCTAATGTACATTGACGGCGGGGGGGAGGGGAGGAGGGAGTGACTACCAGGAGTGATGTGGGGCTAGATGCGGGGCTAGATGTGGGTCTCTAACTGCACGAATCAGTATTAATATATCTTTCGTGTTTTAGGGATTATGTTTTACTGATACCCCAGCGTTGTAGGTTTTCATCGCTGACGATGATGCTCTGTGGACTTTGACCCGTGCATAGCAAATTTTATGAACACATGGGTGCAATTCGTGATTGATATGCACGAATGATTTTTTTCAAGTTTTCGTGATTCAAACATCACTATCTCAGTGATGCTCAGTCGAGAAAAATAGCAGCACCAGTAAAATTAATGATAACGATAAAAACAAAAAGACAAACAAACGAACAAATGAATAACAACAACAAACACAAAAGAACAAAAAAAAAAAAGAAAACCTTACCAGACAAAAAACAAAACAAAAACTAAACCCCCTTAAAATAGATAAATAATTAAATAAATAAATAAATAAACAAACAAATAAAAATGAAGGAAACAAAAATAATGAAAAAGTATAGGAATTAGGAATTGGACTGAACATTACCTGTCTCAGTAATCGCTACGATGACTTTCATTTCTTCTGCTGATAAGCTCATAGAGTAGATGTAACCTTGTAACTGGTTATTTCGTTGCCTCTCTAACGAAGGCATAGGAGAAACAATGTTTTTTTCTCAGGCAATATTGACAATGTAATAATTCAAATGTAATAATTGAAATGTAATAATTGAAAGACTGATGATATTATATTCACTTCGTTCATTTTTCGTGTTGATTGACAATTGGTGTATTTTGACAATAGCTATTTCTCCTCTGGACCAATCAGATTGAAGAATTGTCTTTATAAAATTTTGAATCAACAACAGTTTCCCGCGGTCCTGCCATCATGGCTGTTTGGCACATATGCTTGGCGGTCTTCGTATTTATGAATCAGTACTCTGTCGTTTTCAGCCAAGATGTTGAGGACGACTCTATTGCATTTAGCACTTCTAGTCAACATCGGCTTAATGTAGATTCATTACAAGCTGATAATGACACGAAATTTGATAAGAGATATCTTCTTTACGATGTGAATCCTGGGGAAGGATTTAACCTCAGACGGGATGTGTACATGAGAGTGGCAAATATGATGAAACTTCTACGAGAAAAACAAAACTGGATCCTTGTCGTTCCGCCTTGGAGAAAACTTTACCACTGGCGATCGCCGATCGAGCAAAATGCCCTTCCTTGGCGAACATTTTTCGACCTGGAAAGCTTGAATCGTTACGTGCCTGTCATTGAGTTCGAAGAATTCGTGAAAGAAACCGGTGAAGCAGCCATAGATGAGATCCTCTATTTACAGGGTTACGCTGAAGGGTGGACAGATGGACATTGGGAAGAGAAGATAGATGATAGAGATTGCATCGATAGACCTGTTTACCACAAAGATGAAAGCGGATACTATAGAGGTTACTTCTGGGGAAGGGAAGACATATTCGCGCGTAAATTTAAATGTGTCTCGGTGCAGGGCACTTCGGCAATTTTAGTGCCTACACTTCTGGAGAAGACCAAGTCAAGGTAAGAATGTCTTTTATTCGAATTCGCTATTTAGATGTTTTTCAGAGCTCCATTCTCTGTGGTGTTTCGTCACAATAACACAAAGTTCAATATTTATATTGAATGAACGAGATCAAAGGCACTTAAAATTGATTCATTTACACGTGTACGTTTCTTTCACTGTTTTGGCCGGTATGTTGTGACGAGTTGCAGACAATTTACTTACGGGTGGAAAGTACCGTACATCACAGAGGCTTTCAAACAAATTTTCCAATTGTAAACTGTAAAATATTTCTGGCAAAATTGTAGTCAATATGTCAACTTATCAGCTGAAGTCGTTTCAGTATAAATTTAATGTATTAAAATAACATCAGTACAAAGGACAAACAAGATTCCAGGGGGTTCTTTTCATTTCTACGAAATTAAATTTTTATTACCTGAAAAAAGCATAATTTTATTTATGTCAAAATTTGTTCAAAACTTTTTTGTGAAAAAATTGATCTTTTTTTTTAAGAAGCAAAGTTCTTCAGACCTTGAACAGAAATACAGAAATAGTACACATTTATGAAGGCACATTTAGGGTTTTACAAATGCAATATTCCATTTTTTGTTTTTTTTGTTTTCAACTTCCAATGATAAGATGCCTGAAAGTATTAAGTACTGGTCAGGAAACTTGGGGCAAAGTTAGGGAAAAATGACCTTGTTTTGATCTATTACCTTTAAGAGTCTTGCCTGCAACACTGCCTGTACAATTGATGAAAATGTTTTACTTATATTGTTGAAAATTTGGGTAGGAGACCTGTTGGGTCTTTGTGTTATATTCTTAGGCAAGATACCTTACTCTTGGAATACCATTCCCCTCACAGGAGAATCAATAGGTGCTGGTAAAATGTTGGGGAAAAATGATGAAACACGGCTAATCCTCGGTTTAAAAACCTGTGAAGCTCACAAGTAACGTAAAACAAAGACAACAAAACATTATAAACAATAGCGTACAGCAAAGCAATACCTCATGAAACAAAGAAAACCTCGTCAGGTTTTTACACTGAGGATGACCCCGAAATACTGGGTATATCCACAACAGACTGTTACTAGCATCCCATCCAAACTCCGAAATGGTCGAGCTTAAGCTTCAACCAACCTTCCAAGATAGCACCTTTGGAAACAAAAAAGGAAAAATTGTATGTAAGGATGTAAGCGGTTTTGAACCATCTTTGCATTTTCCACCAAAACAGACTAAACAGATTGCATGACCTGTTATTAATATATCCTTAACTAATTATTTCACTGCATTACAGATCAGTGTTTGTAGAGAGGTTTGAGGAAGTATTGCACATCATTTACGGACAAAAGGATTATTGGGAGGTACTGTAACTTAGGTTTCTTTTTGTGTTTTCCTTTGTGGTTTCAGGTCTGTGTTTATCGACAGATTTGAAAGGGTTATGCACATTCATTATGGTCAGGTGGAATTTTATAAGGTAATCTGAATTTTCTTGAGTTTTGCAAAGGGATCTTATCCTTATCATTTATTTACTCTCAATGTCTGATTGGTTATTCTTCCATCTTGCTGTTATACATTCCCTCCTAAAGTAGTTGATAAAGTTTAATTTTTTTTCTAACCGTTTGACCCCTGAAAGTGATTAAGATGTTATTTCTCCCAATAATATTACCGGAGAATCACACGGTAAGCAGGGTTTATAGAGGTCTTGGAAAACCTGGAAAGTCCTGGAATTTTATTTTGACATTTTCCAGGACCGGAAAGTCATGAAAAAAGACTATAGGGCCTGGATAGTCCTGGAAATTTGCTTAAATCAAGCAGTAAAGTTTTCAGAATTTACGTTATAAGAAATGTGTATAGACCATAAGGAAGAGAATTGACTTTGAAATCTTGCGAATAAAAGGGTCAAAGGTCAAATTTGGAGTCCTGGAAAACTCAATCTGAACCAGGAAAAGCACTGGAAAATTCCTTGAAATTTGTTTCTGAAAAAGGGTACAAACCCTGAGTAAGGTTGATTCGAAAACAAATTCTCTCTGTCAACAGCTTAGGTAATGCATGGGGTATAGTATAAAGGGTATAGCTGCTAATGTTTGGGTGTTAAAGGTTAATGATTAAAAGAATTGTTGATTGAGATAAACAGAGTTTAGTTCCATTTTCCACTTGGTAAAGATGGTTATTTTGTTTCAGGCAAGGAGAAGCTTGGTGTTTGCCAAGCATTTAAGAGATGAAGGGGACAAGTTTCGTAGAGAAGTTTTAAAATCTGATGATGAGAGAGATGCTACAGTCATGGATCTAGACTGGACCAAGAATCAGAAAAAAGAAGGGTCGGCCAATGGAGGCCCATATTTAGCAGTTCACTTGAGGAGAGCTGATTTTCTCTATGCTCACCCTGATGGCGTTCCATCTCTAGACAATGCCATCAAGCAGATAAAGGATATTTTAGAAAAGGAGAAGCTTGATATGGTATTCCTTGCAACAGATGCTGATAAAAAAGGTAAGGCATATGCAACTAGTTGAAATTGTGCCCTTGTGTTTAGAAAATTAGGATATTTTGTTTAAAAAACCCCTGGAAATAATTCCTTTATTTTTCACCTAAAAAATGTTTTTGAAATTTCCGGGCCATTATCTCTAAAGGATGGCAAGGTATGCCACCAAAATTGCTCTTATCATTCATCTTCTTTTAACAGGGTGGTGGTAAAAAGTTCTTGATTTTTTTTTGTCAAAATTCTCAAACTTGGCCCAGTAACTGGTATTATTACATTGCTGGTGGTGCCCACGGGCGTTCTGATTGGCTATCCACCCATCTTGCCTGCTCAGGATTGCCTACATTCATCCAGCGCATGATAAAAATTGAATTAGTACTGAGTTTGTAATTCTAGGACAGTGTTGGAGATGGAGACACAAAAAGGGGCTGAAGATAGTCAAATCAAAGAAAACAGAAACCACTCTTGTGAGTTCACTGTGCTACAAACACAGTTGGCTTTCCTTCAAAGTAAATGAGTCATGCGAAATCTTTTTGCAATATAATAAATCCTTTGTGGACCAAGCTTGTGCAGTCAAGATGGCAGGATACTAGCCTTGTTCCTTTTTCTACATTGTTATTAAAATATGTGTATGATTACCCTGTGACAAGTATATGCATAATAACATTAGCCCTGGTAACATATTTTGTCTTTCAGAGGTTACATATTTGAAGAGTAAACTACCCCTGGTGAAGTATGACCCATCAAAGGAAATTTTGCATAACTATGGTGATGGTGGAGTTGCCATCATAGATCAGTGGATTTGTGCACATGCCCAATACTTTGTTGGGACGTGTGAATCCACATTTTCATTTCGTATTCATGAAGAAAGGGACATATTAGGTTTCCATGGTGACAAGACCTTTAATTGTCTTTGTGGAGATAAACAACTTGGAAAATGTGAACAACCATCAAAATGGAGAGTAGTATATTAAAAATTTGATGAATTTATTTTTAAGCTTTTCTGCATTCCTCTTTCAGTTAGTCATAAAAAAAGGATTACTAAATAAATAAATTATGGGATTGTTTTGGGAACAGATTTGAAACATTTGTGCAAGATAAGAATGGTGGTAAGAGTTTTTAGGGAATGGTACCAGGGGTCACTTTGTTAACCCTGTAACTCCTGTGAGTGACCAAGACAGAATTTCTCCTAACAATATCAAGCAGAAAAGTGATAGTCAGTGAGGAGAATTTACGAATGAGATCTCGGGGATGAAAGGATCAGCTCCTCATTCACAGGAGGAACCAAAAACAAATTTCTCTTTACAGTAAGGATTTTTCCTTTGAGGAGAAAGTTGATGAGGAGTAGAAATATCAACTAAAGAAGACTGTTTGATGTAATACCAACTTCTTAGAGCTAAGAGATGTATGGCAGTCTTGGGGGAGAATCAATCTCTTGACCTTGGGAGTGAGTATAAGATTGGTGCATCTGTCGTCCACACTATAATGAGGAGGATCACAAAGTTGCATTTTAACTTATTTTTACTTGAAGGACTACATACAGTCTATCATTTCCTGCTTGGCAGATAGAGGAAGTGAAGAAAAACCACTTGCAGATAATAGTTTTATGCAGCATGATCTCATGTGATGCTGATTGTTTTCCTCATCTTATTTTTTCTCACCCAAAGGACTAGGCAAGAAAATACAGCTTTATATGCTAGATTGTACCTGTTAAGTTATAGGATGACAGGGGTGGATCCAGGAATTTTTGATTGGGGGGGTCCAAACTTTGGTACAGAAAGGACTGTTGGACCGAGGCAAATTACTTCTCCCCCACACCCCCTCCCACCAGTCGCAGTTGCACGTTATATTCCTTGCCCACGTACTGTTTACTTGGATTCATTAAAAAAATCAGCCAGTTAAAAAGTGATCTACGATCCTGTCTATGTAAGAATTTCAGTATCAAATTTGTAAGCGTCAGGTCTGATAGGGGGGGCCCGGACCCCCCGGATCCGCCACTGGATGATGACTTTAGGTATCTGTCATTACTTGCTTTAAAGGCTTCCAGCAGGCTTTCTTGTTTCCTGAAAACCTGCTTGATCAAGGATAGGCTTTCATTAAGGTTGAAATGAATTCCACACAGTGTCGATGTTGGTTTTGCTTTTCATTCTCTCATATTAATGCTGATGTATGTTTTCTGTCCAGCTTAAAACTGTGTATGATGCACTGCACTGTTGCTAAGCTGAAGGTTTCAAACTATTTCATATTTAACCTTTTCACTCCAAAAAAAGAAATATCATCTCCACTGGCCACCATCCTGACATTTCTTACAATTTTGGAATTAAGAATTTGGGGTGACATTCCTTTATCTGATATTTCTTCTTGTCACCTATATGCCTGATGACACAAGCCTTACGATATTGTTAAGAGAAGTTCATATTTGGTCACTTCCCAGATCGAATGGGTAATAAGGACAGGAACAATCGGTGTTAACTGATTTGAGGTCAAATTACTATTGGGACCTCTTGAGGTCCCAATTGTAATTTTCACTGTCTGCCATATAATTCTTATGAAAATAGTTTGGAGAATTAGGTATTGGATCAACCACTAATCCCAGGGCTGTGGTCTTGCAGTGCCTGGTGGCTCCTGGCGCCTTGCTTTTTCCCTTGGGCAACTTAGGAATCTTAGTTTTTTTCAGAAAAAGCATATGCTGGGCACCGTGAATTTCACTGTTTCCGAGCACTGGGCTCCCTTCAATTTGCCCTAGAGCACAGCCTTGAATCCCCTAGTTGATATTTTTCTTTATCCTCATTACTTGCCTGCTTGACATTGTGTTGATATTGTGAGGAGAAATTCTGTCTTGGTCACTCATGGAAGTTAAAGGTCAAACAATAACCTGGGACAATTTCTAGTGGAGACTGATGAACCTGCTTTGAATACTGTGCTAAAAGGCTGAAACCTTAAATCAATCTGTTCATTCAAGGACAAGAAAAGTTAAGGAGATAACTGTCAAACAACTAAAGGAATATCAATGGAAAATTTCCTCACCTAGTAACTGCCATTTACAGTTTTGTCCAACAGTGTCTTCCATTGACAGCCAGTTATTGTTTACCCTCAGGGATAGGCAACACAAGAAATGATGCAAGTATAACTGGTGTAACCAGGTCCGGCAGTAAAACTTTTAAATAAAAGCTACATGTTGCCAGCAAAAGCTAATAAAATGACTGATGACTCAGTTGAAATCAACTAGCAATGAAAATAATTGATTGGAAACGATGTACATGGTACTGGTAATAATAAATAGCTTTCAGCATTATGTAATTCCTACTTGACTTATGGAAAAACACAAACTTAATTGAATGGTAACAACATTAAAAATAGAACAGTAGAAAGAAAAACAATAAAGAATTATTTCACAGTTGCTTGACAATAAATAGAAATGCAAATTCTAGTTGCTACATCATGTGACATGGAGAAGATGAACACTCGGCCACCAGATTTTGGGAAGTGCAAGGGGATGGGGCCAGTGTTGGACTTTTCTTCTTAGTTATTTTGGCAAACCGCACTTTCCATCAGAGGGAAACACCTCAAGGAGGTTTGCGCTAGATCACTGTGCTGTAAAGGCCATAAATTCTATCTCGGGGTGGATCAATGTCATCCAGCCACGTATTGTACGATTGGAGAATATTTACAAGTGGATATAATAAATGTTAGTACCTACACCTTTAAAATAAAAGTCACCTCTACTCTGGAACAACAAATGTTCAAGAGCTAAATAATGAAACCTTGACTGGCAGCACGCACCTGCTAAGGTAAAATAGGTGAGTGACACCAGGGAGGGGTTCAGGACACTACTATGGTCATGTCTTAGATTTTGGTCAAAAAAGAGGATTGTGGGATTCCTCTGTTGACCTGGCAGTGCTTGAGATAACAATTAACCTTAGCTGAATTATCTGTCAAGATAGCAGTTCTTGGAAACTTGTATTGATACTTGCCATGCATAGATTGCATGATATCAAAGCTTTTAAGGGGGTGAGAGGTTTAAAAAGTTTCTGGTTGAATTAAATATGAGATAAAGGAGCCCTGACCTTTACAGATCATAAATGGTTTTTGAACAAATAAGGTAAGACGTGTCATTTTTTGTTGTGTAAGATTGGTCAAGATAAGAAAAAGTAAAAATATTAATTCAATGTGATTGTCCTTTTTTGTGTGTGAATGTGAAAGAGTTTTGGATATTATTCTTGATGTGTGAAAAGGCCAAATATTTTCATGTGACTGAGTTTTACAAAGGAGTATAGGGGACCCTCAGCCTTGTGAACAGGCTGTCTTTTAAGAGTGGAGTTCAGTGACCTTCTGTAACATTTGGGCGCTGGTGGCCATGGCTTATGGTGTACAAGTGGAAGTCACCAATTAAAATTGTGTCATAGTAAGGAAGACATAGATAAGGTCAGTGTGACACAATTTATGATGACTGTCTAACTGAAAAGAATGATAATCCTTCACGGGAAGAGAATTGATCAATATTTCCAAGAACAACTCAATTTGCCTGAAAGCAAATGATTTCTTTAGTAGGATGAAATAGGGACAAAATAAAAGAGGAATAATTACAAAACCGATAGGTGGATAAACTGCTGACCATGCTAAAACTTCTAAATAAATTATTCCAATAATCATGGCTGTTTGTATTTCTTTATTTGGTTTAAATTGTATTTCTGTTAATCATTTGAATGAGTGAAATCTGTGTTTCATATACTTCCCAAAGGCCGCACTAGTAGTTATTGATGATTTTTTTGGTATCACTCTCCAGACAACAATTTTTTAGAAGTAGAGTTGTAATGATCCCGTATTGCCAGATTTAACCCGTCCCGGGGATCCTCAGAGCAAGACCCCATATAAGGAATTGCAAAGAGAGGCTAGGCTACTGAGCTACAAGGCTCCCAAGATTATTTTTTTTGCCATGATTGTGATGGGGAAGGCCCTCTCGTGCGCACACTGAAAAAAATTATTTCTGTTTGGTCTGGAAAATGTTAAGTTTTCAAAATTTTGACAAAAAATACTTAGTGACTAGCTTTGATGAACAAAAACGTTGGAACACAGAGAAAATGAAGGAAAATTTTGGTGTTTACGGACGCGCACGTCCAAGCCTATGGACTGGGAACAAGACAAAACAGGCCTTGGAGGAACACGGAATCTTTTTGTCTTCCAAGGTATGATTTCCTTTTAATCTAAAGTTTTTTTCCACTAAAAAAGACTCAACGCCATTCTTAAGGTATTTGATCGTGAAAGAAAGTCTGCGCATCTCGCATTGCAAAAGCAAACCCAGAAAAGTCACGACATCCCGAACTTGATTCATAGTTTCGCTCGCGCTGATCAAAGAGATAATTACTCTTTCTTCTGATAATTCTGGATAGGGACTCGATTCCCACGTTGGCGATGGAATCATCGATTTTTATTGTTGATTATAAAGGATGAATGTTTTACTCTTATGAGATATCCCGAAAAGGGCAGGAACTATTTTTCAACTTTTTTTTGCGTCTTTGATAGACATGTTTTTTTTTTTAAAAGCAGGTTGATACGTGGTCGATAGTGCGTGACAAAATAGTTTACTGGGGTGGGGTAGGTAGAGTGTTTGGCGCCTCGTATGAGTAACGCAAGTTTCGTCATCCTTGAACGTTCTTGCGTTTTTTTTATATTGTTTCTTTATATACGACTTTTGTATGAAAGAAATCAAAACTTAAGGTTAACAGAAATGATAAATGTGGAAAATTAACTGTCTTTAGGGTTTCAAATATTTCGCCTGAACAGATCTGATTTTCACTCAAACTAGAACTTCTTTTCTATTTTTCTGTGCGAGTTTGAAACTAGTCAAAGATTTGGGGACAAAACTTTTGTTCAGAGTGAGGAACAAATAAAAATTTTGGGGGGTTTGAGTCTACAAGAAATAGTGGAATTGTAATTACGAAATTAAAATGCCTTCAATGATCTGAAATCAAACGATACTGGGAAGAAATTGAAGCAGTTATTAAAGACACAATCATTGAAAGATTATTTGAAAATGCTAAAACTATTGTAATCACAATTTTTAAATGCAGTGGTTGAGAAACAGTTCTCTCCATAGAGGTTCTGAAATAAATGAAAGCTGTAGAAATAAAAAAAAAAGTATTGGCAATTTGAGTTTGAATGATTAAATGGTGATTCAAGTAAGGTCTTTCTTCAAAACTTCTGTAGGATTCATAGATGAGTTTCTGAGATTGTTCTGAATGAAATATTCAAATGCAATTTTGTGAGTTTTACAAATTTTGAGTTTTACTCAAATTTTGTGAGTCTGACTTTGATCCTGGACATACGATTGTGGAGAAATTTCTGCCAAGTCTACTGAAATAAAGGGTCTGAAATAATGATTTTGCCAAGGAAAACTTGTAAATCACCTGTGTTCAGGACGGAAAATTAGTTGTGTGATCTTTCACCTTTTCAGGAAGTTAACAGTTATTTTTGTCCAAAATAATTTCATTTACCAAATAGGAAAAATTTGTCCATAGTCTGCAGCCTCTTTTGGTAGACATACACATATTCTGCTGTTGATTTCATATTTTCTGACAAACAAAAGGCAGCAAGTTGATTAATATTGAAAAAGCAAACTATACTTCTCACTTTTGCCACACAGGATGCAGACACTAGGCAGGCTGTTTCTTCTAACACTGGTAATTGAAACCATGTGAGCGAAGCAGACAGATCCTTTTATGTTTTTAAAGTATTCCGTTCGATGGAAAATATACATTTAATTACGATTTCTATTTATTAATACTATACACCCATGAAAACAAAGGGGTTTGTGTGGTTAACAACGGAGAAGCTGGGAAGAATTACTCCTTGTTGTCATACTTCCGGTACGAGGGCTAAAATATGCAAATCATGAAAAAATAGTCTGAAGTTTCCTCTTAAAATGATAACTCTTGGGTTCAAGTTCGGCATTTGTGATCACGAAATCACGAAAACACTTCTTAAACAGACAATATAACACTAATGAACTGACTGCAAATTGCGTTAATAAATTGTGCCGGAAAAATTTATGGAAACGAAATTGGATATTCGCTGTTTCATTGATTGATCGATCGTCGAATTACGAGTGATTTTGAGACGTCACATTAGCTGAAAAGGCTTTCAAGTAATGGGGAAATACTTGTTCTTCAAACATCTCCTTGAAGAATTTCGTTTCAGCGAATTCGAGATGAAATGATTGCTCCTGTTCTCGGCCATTTCGGTGCTCTTGTATCGTCTAACCCCACGACATCACAATTCTCCCATCTTTGTCCTAAAACCTTTTCTTCCGTTGTATTATGCAATTCTTTATTTTTAGCGACAGTTATCTTTCCCAGTTTCTATTTATTGTAGATAATACATAGAGGAAAGGTTTCGCGCCGAACGCGATGTCTCTCGCGATGGAGGTGTGTTCAGAACACGCACAGGAAATCTTACACTTCGATTTTGTCTGATGAAATAAGCAATTCTCCTTGCTTTCCTTTGTCTAACGACGGCGCTTTTTGTTTTTTCCACCAATCAGGAAATCTGGACCATAGGGTGGTCGGAGTATTGATGCAATCGCTTAGAGCATGTGATATTTGCACGAGGGTTTTGCTGATACAAGAAGCTTGGAGTGAATTCTTGCGCCGCCATATTGGTTAGCGGGAAAGAAATTTTCATTCGCCTCTAGGGTGGTGTATTTGGTCGTAAAACTGACTGCGATATCATTCCGAAGGATTAAAACACCTCCATCTTTACTTCTTGGTGTTTTGGTGTGGTGTGGATAACGATTCAGCAAGGAATATCAACGACGAAAATTTGGCGTTTTTTGCATATATCAACGTTGGTGTGTTCTTTTGCGAGATTAGAACACGCACTACCAAGACGTGGCGGTCACGTGCTCATCGCGCTAAAAAACGTTTTCTCTCCTACCCTTGAATGAACTTTAAAAAGTTTGAATTTTGGTTGAATTTCGTCGTGTGTTTTAATTTTTTTCATTATTTCCCTGTTGTAAGCAGTCGCGAAAATGCTTTCAACGGGGCCCCATTGCCATCGGCAGTCATTGTGAAGTGAAGTATGGTAGATGGCTCAAATGGCTCCCGCTCTGACCGAGGCAACCGCATCTCCGGAGTCCTCGAGAAAGAATTCAGTGGATCGTCACTGTTCTTCAACTTTACAAGGGGAACTTAAGCAAGAAACTTCGACTCTAGGGTTGGACTTAAAGTTGGTTTCCCAGAACGGACTTGTACGATTGATTAGCGACAATAACATTGCAGACATTACAAATACTATCAAGCCTTCGGAGCAGAACACACCCATAGTTTCACGACTCAACGGAGATTTTAAGGGGAAAAGTGAGATGCCAAACGGACACTGTGATGATAAACTGGAAAAGAGTGCCACTGATATGTCGAGCTACTCCGCTGCAACAGAAGAAAAGCGAAATTCGTCCCTTGATCTTTCGCGTACATGTGCTTCAACGGCGAAGACTTCGGCTGCTACATGCAATACTGTTAGCGAAGATGAAGAACGGAACCGAGTTTCGCAGCATCCGGTTGCCAACTTAGATTGTGGAAAGGCTATTATAACTCAAAGAACCACACAGGCGTTTCGACGTCAAGGAAAGCTGGACGGCCGGGCAAGAAGAATTGAAACGCGCCTTCGCAAACTACAAGCGCGGCAACTGAGTGACCATGTGCTTCAACAATTGGAAAATTTGGTGGAGAAGCGTAGTGAATCGTGCGACTCATCCATCGCTCATCTCGAACCAACATGGAATTCAGGAGTCAGTGCTTTTCCCGAAAGTAAAAGTGCGTCAAATGTTTGTACGGAAATAAAAGCAGATCGCGCTGGCACAAAGTCGACAGTGCCTGGAAATCTTGCCACCCGGGCGAAAAGCAACAACGGAACGTTTGTGGATAACGTAGTGAAAGAGCTGGAGCGCATTTCTGCTGAATCATTTAACGCCGGGGAAAAGAATATTCTGACAGAATTGAGACAACAGGCGGATGCCGTGAATTCGGTGGAAAATTGGAGTTCGCAAGTTGAATTTTTGGAAAGCATTCACGATTCCGATGTGACAGAAGGAAGTTCGGACGAAGAAAGCGACGAGGAAGGTGAATCGAGGAAAACGAAACTACGTAGTAAACGGTGAGTTAAATTTTTTCTATGATGTTGAAAGTTTAAGACTGTCTAGAAACGAAAAAGATCTATATTTCTTTGCATCCTGCTAATTGATCGAGGAATAGCGTGGGAGAGAAATGTCTGCCTCGAAATCCACGATTAAACTTTTCCAATCCATTGAATACTGGCACTTCATGGGTGTCTGCGATTTCGGAGCTTTATTCAAGTTATATTCAATTTTTTTACGCCAAATTATGACTCTTTTCCAAAACGAAAATTATGTAAGAATGAAATGTTCGCGATGCGAGTGAGTCGAGTTTAAATTTCCCTCGCGGACAAAATTTACTTCTGAACTAGCGCCATGGTGAAAGTGGGAAAATATGGTCAAGTTTCAAGTCTTCCCGTTTTTATCGAAAATGTAAAAAAAATGTCAACCCAAACTTATCCATTCAAAATGAGAACCATAGCTAGTTATCGAAACAACGATTTCCCAATTTCAAATGTGTGGAATTTGGTTTACAGCGGCTTGTTGGGCTATCGCTTTTTGTCTCGTTTCCCTGACGTTACAATTCAATTTGCCGATTGCATCTCTACCACTGCGTTCAAATACCTTTCGATGACAAGTGTTACGGCATAATATGAAAATAGTATTATCGACTTGATGTAAAATTGTGCTTACAGTTGATTGTGTAGATCTCACTTCTGGTTTGTATCTTGTTTATTTTCCATTTTTTCTGTCCTGAGCGGAGAAAATTTGCATACATGTTGATGGGAGGAAAGGAAATTTTAATTTTTAAGAATGTAGTTTTCCTAAACCCATCTTCATTTTAGATCTCTTCCAAATACGTACTTTTGGATGTTATTAAGTGGTTTTGTTTAATGTTTTTGGAAAAGCTTCATTTTTTCTCAGCTAAAAGGTGTAAAGTAATGTCTTCTAGTTTGTACTTGTTGTGAATGATTTGTTTCCATCGGGGACTTTTCTTTGTGCCTAGTAAATATTTGAAATCCTGGTCCATATGACAAAAAATAATTAATTTATTTTTGGTTTTTTTGAATGAAAGGCCAGCATAATCATGTTGTAACCTAGTAAGACACTCTATAGTGAAATCTCCCAGTAGATTGGTGTGAAACTTTAGAATTGCTTTGATTCTAGTCACTAATCTGTACTTAAACATTTCAAGCAAGTTAGTGAAAAATCTTTTTGATAGATTTAAAAGTTTTTTTTGCTAGGGCACTCATTGTGTTGTTTGGCATCCGAGGTTTTTAGTGAAAATTAAAAAGGGCATTTAAATTGTATAAAAAGACACTTCAATTTAAAGCAATCCTGTGATGCATTACACAGTTCACATACAACAATGTTCCAGTACCTTCTTTTCATCATCGACCGCCTTGTCAATTGTTTTGTGGACTCTCTGTGGACCATGGGCAACCTCTAAGTAAAATGTGGCCAGCTTGCATTAAGTCAAATAATCTTGTTACAGTCATTGAAACTGTAAATGGATATGAACGCTGAAGTTAAAAGCTACCTCTGTTATAAACAATTACACTCTACTTTAATAGATGCTTAGTCAAGAAGAGCTGAGACTGTTTGTAATTTGTGTTATTTTACAAGCTGGGTTGGTCTTCTCTTGATTCAAATGTTGTTTGCAAAATTGTTTTTTTATATTGGTGAAAAAAATTAATTATATAATCTTCAGGAATCGATCTCAACTTGATTCAAGTATGGGTGCACCTTTTTGGTGTAATATCATGGAAGTGTTGCAACATATTTTTCTGTAAATTTGTTTATCTTGCATTGAAGGTTTATATTAAGGAAGGCAATTGAACCATGCATCATTTTTTTGTGAGAGCTATGTTGAGGTTAACCTCCTTGAGAGCCATTTATTTGTTTCACTCAGCTGGAGGGCTCCTTAGTAAAAAGTGCTAAGTGACTGGTGATCACCTCTGAGATCCTTCTTCCAAATTGTCTGGTGTTTCTTCTGAAGCAAGGGAGAAGTAGATGCACCATCTAAAAGCACCTTTATTCTGATTATCCCTTTGAATTACATGCTTCTCTCAGTATGATTTCTTTTATTGAATTTAATTTTTTTTTAAACAGGGCCAAAATTCTAAGGAGGCAGTATCACTTGGAAGAAGGAATCATTGCCTCTCACTGGTCTTGGCTTCAGTCACAGATTATAAATGTTGAAAGGCAGATCAGGCGCTATGATGAGCTATTCAAAGGAGGGAGGATGAGAAAAGGCATGGTGAAACTCCAAGCTTGCACTGCAAATGCAAATGCAAATGTAGCAAGAGGAAGTAATGATGTTGATGGAAACAGTATCATCAAAGGCATTAAAAACAATGCTGTTTCGATGTCTCTGGAGGTAGCGAAATCTAAGCAGTATGTGGATCATGGTAAAGATTTACCCAAGGATCCAGAGAATCATGTGCCTAATGGCGTAAAACGACACCTTCTTGATAGTTCACTGCTGAAGGAGGAGGATGTCCCAGTGAAGCACTACAAGGCAGTCTTTGCAACAAACGACTCTACTGACAACAAAGTGTGTGGGTCTTTTTCCTCCACTTCAAATGATGTTTTTCCTCAGTGTGCAAGGACTAGAGGAGTGTATCCTGTCAGGAAACGGCGCTTAGTGCATTTATCACACATCCGACAAAAGCCCAAGCCCCATTCATTGCTCTGTGGCTGTGTAACTCCTACAACACCATGTTTAATATGCTCAAAATCTTCACGAACTTTACCAGTTGTCAGCTCCAGCCAGACTATGGCGGAGAAGGTGGCTTCTTTGGATGCTTCATTCCACCCAGTCCTCTCTTTCTGCACAGGTGAATAGATGATATGTAGTCCCAAAGTAATAGTTACTTTAATTTGTCTGGGACAAATAAATGTCTAAGTTTTCCATAATCAACTGAAGCTAAAGCTTTGTATGAAATCAAGACAAAGTTTCCAGCTGCTTCAGATGTTTTGTACTTAATGAATTGGAGATATGTTTAACGACAAAATTACCATAATAAACTTGTGCAGTTGACTAGGTTTAGATATCCTCTTATTATTCTACTAAGAGACTTGCAGCAGGCTTTGTTTATGTCTGGTCAACAAAGGTGGCATGTGCCTGTCAGAAAACCCAATTTCATGATTTTACTCAACTTCTCAGTATGAGTTTCCACACAGTTTCTATGTGGTTCTTTTACCTTAAACTTTAAGATTTTCTTAGTAAATCAGACAATATCTTTGAGTTGATATGAGTTTTTTCACCACCGTTTCATTGAAAGTACATTGAGACTGGAAGGAGAAATTCCCTTTTAGTCAAAGCAATTTAAACGCAGTACTTCAACAAAATCTTTCTTTTTTTTTTTGTTTAGATATACCTCTTCAGCTGCACTTTGGAGCGTTACTGAAGCGGGGTGGGTTTGAAAAGAGGACTAAACCACAAGTGTTGCGCAGTACTTCCCAGATTGTTGAGAAAAAGTAAGTATTTGTATCTGGAATACCTCTTGTGTGTATATGGCAAATAATTTAATTGTCTCAGGTTGCTGTAATAGAAAGCTTAGCTTGGCTTGGCAGGCCATATCTGTCCCACTTTTGATATTCAGCAGAATGTCCTCACGAGGTAGTTCTAGTTCTTGGTATCGCAAGTGGATTTATTAAAGCAGATGTAGCTGTTGTTGTATTGCTGCTGGTCACTTAACATATGGGGGAAAAATTAAGGTGTTAATCTGCTGGCTTGTAATTAGTCAACTGCAAAATCTTTAGCTCGGTTAATGAAAATGGTGTATTTAACTGTGACCTCTTTTTCTCTTCAATTTTGTTTGGAATTTGAAGTATTTTCAATGAAAAAGGTCTTGTAGACTGGACAGTAAGAATTTTAAATTTTGTAACATGCAAGTGTGTAGGACCTGCCATTCTAGTCAAGCATGAACTAGACTATGTCATCACTAAAAATAGCAGAAATATTTTAATCATTGTTGTGTTGTCAGCTGGCATAACAATTGTTTGCCTTGGATCCAGTATATGGTGATAACTTTTCTGAAAAGTTATCACCATAGATAATTTTTTGAGTGTGTTGTCAGGTAATCAACCATATGGTTGTTTTCTTTTGTAGTTGAGTTTTGGATGTGTTGCTATGATGATATGATTTTTTTTAATGCAAATTTTAACAGTATTTTATGCAAATAATGTCACCTCATGAAATTGTTTCTACAATTTTTTTATGCAAATGATGTTACCGTACGAAATTGTTTCTACAATTTTTTTGTAAGGGAATGTGTTTCAGGATTTTAACTAGTTAAAGAACACAGAAAAAGGATGGAATTATTCCATTTGTTACTTATTTGTTGCCTTGCAAGTTTTGTTGGGTTTTTTTTGTAGCTTATAGCCTTGTTTAATTTTAATTTTTTTTTTTTTTCAGGAAAGTGCCTGTAGTATCCAAAACGGGAAAGAGGCATGGACAGCTGGCCAAGGGCACTGCGTCATCTCTTTTGTCCTCTGCTAGTAAGTTATTTGAGCTTACTAATCTGTTGTTATTCCAAAGCGACCCTTCAGTAGTCATAATAAAATAGTCAGTCACAAAATAAATCTCCCTGTGCTCAGTGAGATGAAAAGTAAAGGATGTGGAACTGGAAAACTACACTCATCCTAGTGAAAGCAGTAAATTCAAACTCTCATCTCTTGCATGAGTAAAATTAAACCCTCTTTTTGTTTCATTGTATTTGGCACTCCTATGACACTTTGAATTTACACAAACAAAAGCTGTAACAAACTGAAACGAATAGAAGCTAAAACAGTTACTTAAATGACACAGCAGCAGAGTTAAACTTGGGGACTTGCAGATTTACTTATGACCTTTAGATTTAATTCAATTCAGTGCCAAGAACCTCATGGGACTTCTGCTAAATTGATTTTAAAGTGCAGGGTTTGACACCTATCTACCTGCATCACTAGCCACCGGGCTAGTGATTTCTAAAATTTGCTGGCCCAAAACACAACTTGGCAGCCCAGATCAAGGTCTAGATCAAGCCCAGATCAAGGTCTTCCCTCAAGGACTACTTCAACCCCAAACATGCAAATCTTCCTCTAAACTTATTGGTCTTTTAAAATGATAAAGAATGGTACAATCACTTCAAGTGCAAAGCGATCATGTTTAGTGATGTGCAAGGCAATCCATCGCAATTTTTCTACTAGCCAGTGGGCTATTAAACGTGGTTTTCTAGCCCGACCAAACTAGCCTCGGGCTACCGGGCTAGTGGAGATGTCGAACCCTGAAGTGTAATTTGTACTCAAGTTACTGCCTTTTTTGTTTTAATGGAGCTGTTTTTCTCTGTTAGAAAGCTTTAGATTCCAGGTATTAAATCAATGTGCAATTAATATTGATATAAATTTGTTTGATGCAATAACATAATGCTGATGTTATTACTGTATGCAGTGTGAAAATAACCATGTAAGCTTTTCACTTTAAGATCTCACTAGTAATTCTCCTGATTGTTTGCTAAACAATTCTTTTATTAGTCAAGATAATTGGTATTGGATCATCTGATAATTGCCCTGATATTCTTGCTTTATTCTCATCACTAGTCTGCTTGACATTTAATTGATATTGTAAGGAGAAATTCTGTCTTGATCACACATAGGAGATATAGGCTTCAGGAGAAAATGAACCTGCTGTTGGAAGGGGAGCCAAACATGGCAGCAGCCCTATTTTTTTCTCTCGATTCCTTTAAACAAGAGATTTTGTTTTTGAGAACAGACTTGCATGGCTTTGTAGTTCAGTTTTCATGATTCTTAGCGGAAGTCTATGGTGCTATGGGAGTATGAACATGTTAAGGTTTCTTTCAACTATGCAAGTAATTGAGCAGGTAATATTCAAACAACAGATCTACAAAATGGTTGTTTGTGTTACTCTTGTTGTCTTAGAACTGCACAATCAAAAGTATGAGAGGAAGAGAGGCTACTCTGTTTCCACGCCAAAGGGTACGTCAAGAGCTTCAGAGAACAGGATCAGTCAGGCAGAAGGTGCCAGAAAGAAGCGAGCAGCTGCAATAAGTGCTGGTAAGAAAAGTGAGGAAAGAAAGATGGTTTCGAGGTAGCAGACCTCTTTTACTTCTTGCAGGCATCCTCCATTGGGTTTGATGCATTTTAGCTCAGATTGGAAAAACCCAAAGGGTCCAGTCTGAGATTTAACCCTTAAATCCCATCAGTGACCAAGAAAGAATTTCTCCGTACAGTATCAATACAGCATCTAGTAGACAAGGGATGAGAATAATTATAAGAAAATATTGATTAGGGGATTCTTTCTTGATTCTATAACTTGTGAACAAGCAGCATCAGAATTTAAAGGCAGACAGTAAGGAGAAGTACTAATGACAGGGGCGAATCCAGGAATTTTTGATTGGGGGGGTCCAAACTTTGGTTCAGAAAGGACTGTTGGACTCTTTGAGGCAAATTACTTCTCCCCCACACCCCCTCCCACCAGTCGCGGATGTACGTTATAATTCCTTGGCCGCTTGCCGTTTATTTGGATTCATTAAAAAAAAATCAGCCAGTTAAAAGTGATATCCGATCCTCTCTCGAAGTTGTAAGCGTCAGGTTTGATAGGGAGGGTCCAGACCCCCCAGATCCTCCCCCTGGATCCACCACTGAATGAGATATTGAGGGTAAAGTGTTAAATGTTGAGGTTTATTTACCTGCCACAGCTGCTCAGCTGCAGAAACGTGCGAGGAGCTTGTCACTTCCTACTGTGGTGTCTTCTCCTTCCACCCCAACATCCACTCCAAGTCCTACTGCCAGCCTTACTCAGTCCATGCCACCAGCCAGCCTTGGCTCCTTGCTAAAGAAGAAGAAAGGTAGTAATGCGTTTGATATCAACAACATAGTTATCCCATACTCCATGGCGTCTGCAACGAGAGTGGAAAAGCTACAGTATAAGGAAATCCCGACTCCTAGCTGGCGTGTGAATGATGTGATATCTGAAGGTGACGAGAAGATGGAGGTAAGTTTTACTGATTATGATAAGCTTGGAGTAAAAGAAATAAAAGCAATTCATTTTTATTTGAAGGGGGAGGGGTGGGTGAAAATTTACTTCTAAGGGGGAGGGGTGGGTGAAAATTTACTTCTAAAGGGAGGCTGGTGGGTGATAAGGTATGTTTGATAAATTGTTAACATTCTTGCAAGGTTCTCTTGCAACAATGTTTTGGCGGATTTGTTTGTTTTGTTGCTTGTCTCAAGAATCTCTCCACAAGTTTAATATTGTAATACGTTTACATAGGGTTGACTTTGTAATTCTTTGGAAAGGTCTCTTTTTCCTTTCTCACTTGTGTTTGAATCATTCTCTATGAGTTAGCTTTTTAGGAATCATAGGTAAAAAGTGATAACCTATTGTAGAATTAAAATGTTTCAGAATAGTTACACAGATCGTAAAGCAGATTATATCTTCTCCACAGGTGGATCATGATCAGGCTGAAAAGGAGGAGACAGAAGATACAACAGATGATATGTACATCTCCAGACATCGCCTCTGTGAGGAGCAAGAACGTAAAAGGTTTCTAGGACTGGTCAAAAAGAAAAGAAAGCGTACCTCGAGACAAAGCAGTGAAATCAGTTTTTCAGATCCACAATCCCCTTCAGGGTACCCAGACAGTCAGGGAGGAACCCCCCCTGGAACTCCTGTATGTAGCACACCATTACCGACATTGACTGGAAACTCTCTCTCACATTCGAACTCTTTTCCTGCCGCCATACCTTACCCTCCTGCATCATCTTTGTCTCCATCTGCAACCACCACACCCACGTCGTCACTGCCATCATCCATGGAGAAATTCCATCGCTCTTTCTCGGACTCCAAGCTTCCGCATCGAAGGTCTTCTTCAACCGAGAGGTCTGAAAAATCTTTGAATGAAGAAGATCTCTGGCCACCCGTGCCACCATGGCCGGATAGAACATTTCCTTTGTCCGAATCGGATTTCTCTTCGCTCAAACTGCCCACTCCACTTCCGACACCTGCCTCCTCTGTACCTGCTTCTCCTTCGGCTTCATCACCCGGCAGTCCGATGTGCTCTCCATTAGCAAGCCCAGCTTCCGACGCTAGTAGCGAAAAGAATGAATGGACTGTCAAGCTTGTCACAGACCAGGGGTCGAGCAGCGACACTGGCGGAGCACCTCGTAAAGGAATTGTTTTAAAACTAGCAAAAAGATAATGGAAAAAAAAATCTTAGAAGTGGGTTTTAAAAGTAAATAGAGGTTTTCCAGGCAGTTAGCTTCCTTATATGTCAAGAAAGGGCTTTGGTAAAAAAAAAAAATTGTATATATTTTTGGGTTGCGAATGCAGTTTGAAATGTTGGCTGTGTAAAACAGAGAGCCAACTCGTCAAAAGAAAGTTGTGAAAGAAAGCGAAGAGATTATTTGAACAAGCGTGCTATTGTGGGAGAAGTTAAGTTTCGTTGGTCCCCCCCTTTTGTTGCCCTTTCTTGATTAAGGTGTAGTTTGTTGTCTGTTACTTCCGGATGGGCGTGTTTAAAGTACAAGTCTTGATTTCTGACAATATAACTAAGAGTGATCGAAGAACCGAAAATAGGTAAAAAGAGTGAAGAAAAACAAACAAAAAAAAACCAAAAAGCGAAGTGGGTAAAAGGCATGTATCTTGTACGCAAGCATTCTTTCGCTAAGAGAGAATTTTTCTTCTCACAAGTCACGTTTGTATATAACCTACATATTTCCCTCAAATAAAACACTTGTATTTTATGAGTTTTAAAACACTGTGTATATTGATAACATTGCCATAGATTTGTAGAGGTTTGGTTACAACGGAAATAACAACTTTGTGAATAAATTGATTTATATTAGGCGCTTGGTTTGATTTGATATTCGATGAGGCGTTAATTGTAAAGTTACATGTTGGTGCATGTATTTCTATTGCTAGAACGAAATTTGACCATCACTGTTAGAGGTCAGTATTTCACCAACAATGACATTCTAACACTTAAAAGACGGTTTAGAGAAACAAGGCTTTCGATTTGAAATGGTTAGGGATGGAAATGATTCTGAAGGATTGCAAACTTTTTACTGAGGAATTGTTAGGTTGAGTATTTTTGAAAACGGACCTTATCTTCTTGAGACACCTTGAAGAGGCCACGCAACGGATAAGCAGTAATTTTCCGAGTAAGCTAAGCATTTGCAATCCACTGTCTTAATCCAGGCGTATCGTTTTAATAATAACCACTCTTGTTGTTTTTTATCACCGTGGTAGTGTGAAATAGTTTCATCCAAGTTGCTGTTATTTTAGCACTACATAATAGGCCGAAACTTGTGACTTAAAGCCCATCTCAAAACTTTAGATGCAGTTTTGCTTTGTCGAAACGCATTTTCCGGCAAAATTAAGAATTAATCTCTGGACTGATCTGTCTGAGCATCAACAGCTTGCTTTGAAAGACCAGTTATCTTGCAACGATTGACTGAGGTCGAAACTTAGAGCACTCATGGTCTTACAGTGGAATCCCGATATCTCGAACCAAACCTTGTTCCCTTGGATTTGCTTCACTTGTTATTTCACCTCCCATTTCTCAAACTCCCAATTTCTTGAACCAATTTGCGTTTCCCCTGGAGGTTCGAGAAATCGGGATTCCACTGTATTACATAACTGATTTTGAGGTCGACATAGAAGTTAATAACTTTCACGGGTTATTAAACGCTTCAAGGTCTTGCCTATCACCTGATGAACACGTGTGCAGTATAAGAAAGAGGTTGGGGGCACTTTGATTTCTGCCGGCTACGGGTGGTCCAATTCAAGTAGCACGGGGTTCGAAGAGAAATTTGATCGATGGAGCTGACTTAACATTGTTGTGCTTTTGATGGGTATTTGCAAAACTTTGAGCCTGATTGAATACTCGCAACTGTGTTGCAAAATCGTCTTCGCATAAAAATCGAAAAAAACCCGCTATATTCTGCGTTCTCGTTGTCCACTTCAAAATATTACACGTGTACAGCCCGTGAAAGATCCCCAGATTTTCCTCTTTGCAGGTTTACCATTCTTTTCTCCACGATGAACCTGCTAAGAAAAATCGAGCCGTAAACGAGTGCGTTGTATGTCTTTTTACTCATTATCTTTAGTTCGCTCGTCCTAATATTTTGAATACAGCCAAGTTTATTTAGAGCGGAAGACTTAAGGTTCAAAAGTTTTCCGAACGTTTTCGCACTTGAACAAATGTCCACATGGCTTGATCAAAGTTTATTTTCAAATACCCGACAAGATATCGACTTTAAACTTCAAAGGTTATGTCACATTTGGCATTGTTCAGTACTGTTTTCTCCGTAGTATGTGCGGTCAAGTTTGACTGCATACGCTGTTTAAGTCAAATGGTCTCAAATTTGACACGGCTTAAAATGATTCAGGAGTGTCCCAAATTTGGAGAAAAGTGTGCCCAGAAAGGAAATCCTGATAATTCAAAACTCTTCCGTTTGGACATCATAATATTTGTTCCAGAGATCAAAGGCCTTGCAACAAATAGCACTAGTTTAGGTCTTGTAACAGTTGAAAGCGTTTTGAATTAATTTCATGCTTGGGGAGAAATTTTTCATCACTGACTGCTAAGAGCTTGTCCGGTCATGAAACAAAATTAGGTGTCCTATAGTCTTTCAGAATTATCATACAGGGTTGTCCTCGCTTTTTTCAGTTGTGAATGAAATCAAACGCTATTACTTGTGTATTGCTGTCTCAATCCTTATTCTCCGTTTTAAATACGATTTATTCAGATAGATTAAGGTGAACAAATCAAGCTGTTTGAAGGTAGTTTTCCTTAACCCTGTAATGATCCATGCGTGACCAAGAGAGAATTTCTCTTCACCACATCAATACAAAATAAAGCAGGCAAGTGATGGGAATAAAGGAAAATGTCATTTGGGGGATAAGTAGTTGATCCAATACGAAATTCTTCTAACTAACATCCGACAAGAATAATATATCCGTCGATAGCAAGGAGAATTACTAATGCGATCTGCGAGTGAAAGAGTAAGGATTAATCTTTCTTTCAAAAGAACAATAAGCATGAAAACTGATAAAAGTCGTTGTGTCTATTACGATTCAGACTTTCTCCTTGATGAGAAGGCCGTTTCGATTTTGCGCAAAATTAGCGTAATGAGCTTTAATGATAAACTGCACGCAATGACATGGAGTTGCAAACAGGTGTGATCAACGATAGCCAAAGATACGCTACCACAGCAAAAACTTACCCACGACAAAGTCATCGTTAAATGGACACGTTCTCGTTATGCAGAGAACAATGATTTTTTTTTTGGAACGTAGAATGATTTTATTCGCTTTCAAAGGCAAATAATGTGCGCTTATTTTAGTGGTCGAATCGCTTGCACCTCGGTTATAAGGTAAACACAGCTGTGAACTGTGCTTTCTCCGTTACTAAACGAGAAAGAAAGTTATAGAGAGTCATTTATCTTGGTTCATTAAATACGCAATGTGGATGAACGCGATTAGGGGCATTTTGATGCTTTTAGCATATATCCTGTTCTATTTTCAAAACGCTTGTTGCGAAGAACCTAAAGCAGTTGACAAACATGAGAAAGGCGGTCGTAAAATCCTGGTATTTGGAGGGAATGGATTCATTGGAAGTGAAGCTGTACGAAGACTTTTAGACAAAGGGGATGAGGTCACCATTGTGAATCGAGGAAATTGGTACTTCGATTCTGACCAGCGAATCAAACCATTTGTGAAAGCGCATTTTATTTGTGATAGAGACATGCGAATGAGAACCGAATGCAAGGAGATTTTAACTTCCGGTTACTATGATGCTGTTATTGATTTTAGTTCGTACAACGCAAGACAGATAAAACACGTGGTCGAAATACTGCATGATCGTGTCGGTCTTTACGTGTACATCAGCACAGATTCTATCTACGAAGTCTGCGATAAAACGCACTCTGGGCCCAGTGTAGAAGAAGACGCGGTACGACCCAAGAACAGGAAAAAGCGCTTGCAACTTAAGCGAGAAGAAGGTTATGCGCATGATAAATTGGCTTGCGAGGAAGTCCTAGAAGAACAGAGCAAGTCCGGCGGATTTCCGTATGTGACTTTGCGACTCCCGGATGTTATCGGACCACGAGATAATTCCTTCCGGTTTTGGACCTATCAGTTGTGGATACGCATCCATAAGGACATCAAACACCCAGTACATATGCCCAGCGGTGTGTCCGACACAAAATTCAGCCTTTTACATGTGGAAGACGCCGCCAAAGTGATCGAGAAAGTGTTGGATGTTGGTCCCGCCGTGCACAATCAAGCCATCAATGTGGCGTTCAATGAGCACTTCACATTGAAAAAACTCCTCCGTGACATGGCAGATAAAATGAACATTGACCAGCTCGAATTCATCTCCCAAGACGAAGAAACCTGGTATTCTTACCCAACTGTCACTAAAGGTCCTCTAGATATCAGTAAGGCTAAGCTCCTACTCGGCTGGGAGCCTATGACCTGGGAAAGGGCTTTGTATTCTCTCATCTTTTTCTTCGAGGGTGCAATGACAGATGCCAAGTTTCTCAAGGAAAGAGAAGTGCTTTTAGCAGACGTCTTTGAAAATATTATCCCAGAGGAACTTTACGAAACTGCCCTGAAGAAACTGGTTTCAATGTATGGCAAGGACGTTTTAGAAGGGATAGCGATGGATATGGGCTTCGATGGAACCCCTGAAATAGAAGGCGAGATAAATGTTCAGGATTCAAGCTCTGCGCATGATCAGAAATCAGCGGAAACGGAAACGAGGGCTCATTCATCGGCTGACAACGAGGAAGTTGAGGAGATTGTTGCTGATGTAGACTCTGATAAGGAGGCTAAACAATTGTCAGAAAGCAGCCAAACTGCAGAAATTCATTCCGACGAACTATAGTTAGTCTAGTGTAACGCTCTAATATTTTCCTGTGAAATATCAAGGAGCTGTATTCATTTTAAACCGAAACTGACTATTTCGGAAACAGAATAAAACTGTTAAATTATTTTATATCCTTAAGTGTGTATGCGACGTGGGCTTATAAACAAACAAACAGAAAAAAGAACCCATCTGGGAATAATTTAGATTCAAAGACAACCTGAAAGCTTTACCTTCGTACTTTCGTTAAGTATACATTTTGAAGGTCTGTAGGTTTTTGAACTTAGAAAAGTAACCAGGCCTGGTCCAAGGACCACAAGAGGGACAATCATTTCTTCTTAAAAAATAATAAAGTGGGAAAAAAAAAAACGTGGGGAGCGCACTTTCCCAACCACTCGCACCTGCTCTTTAGCCTCACCCCTTTCTCCCTCCCGTTTAAATTTTGTTTCTCTGTCCTTGAATGTTTTAAAGCATAGGGAAGGCCTGAGACGGGAAAAATTTGGCCTGAAACAAAATCAAAATTTTGGGAATTTAGTAAATGTCACTCCCGACTCCATTGAGAGATTTCGTTAGTCACATGACACCTTTAAGCTAGAATCGCCATGTGCTCGGGTGAGCGAGTGTCTTCAGTTTTTATATAGGAGAGAGTTTGAGAGAAGTTATTGTGCCTTTCTTTGCCGGCTAAAGGCGAACAGTTCGGTGAGTCGATATTGGTTTTTGTTGTTCGGGGAGGTATTTGGAGCTTAATGCCTTCTTTTTTTTGTAATTTTCAAAAAACCTCTCACTTATATTCATTGACCGAGGCCGTGCGGCCAATGTACGAGTTTTAGACGCTCGTTTAAATTTTAAACATAAGTACTACGGTACTGACAGTAAAATTTAGAAAGAAGTTACCCTTAGGTAGATTCGACGGTAGATTTATTTACAAAAGAAAGTTTTTACTGTTCTCATATGCTCTTTCGAGAAAAAAGGTGATTATGACTCTTGCCTTATATATTCTGTAAAGAAATTTAGACCTACGGGTCTAAGAACAGTTCTCCTTTCTAAAATATATCAGAGGAGGCACAAAATGCCGATCTCATGGATTAACGAAAATTCTAGCACGATCCAAATGCTGTAAATGTGTCTAAAGATTTCTTCTCAGCAAAAACAACAAAGAAATGAATCAATTATCAATTCTAGGCGTTGAAAGGTTCGCCTGTTGTTGTAAGACTATGAAAGTCTTACTCGTGATTACCAGTCGTGCTACAGCCTCGATCACCTGAACACCCAAGCGAGGCAGTATCCAGAACACTAAGCGGTCGCTGTTAATCTCCCAGCCTGCATAGCGTTGTCCCTCCTCGCCGTCCATCTTGGAAAGTAATACGGAGCGTGGCTTCATCCGCAAAGAAGTAATCCTTAAAGATGTTTTCTTGCAGTAAATTTACCTCCCCAGTCGCAAGGAGTATTGTAAGTATAAAATTGGCGAGATTTTGCTTGAGTTTAGGGTGTCAATTAATGAAAATGCACTAATATTCTTAGGTTGGCAATGGTCGCGCACTATCGCGGCCGCTCTCTACGGCCATTCGTCCCCAGTCACAAGCTTTGGCAATGGTATGTACCCCGTAAAAGTAGTAGTAATTAAACTAAGTAGCTTTAAGAACGTTGGACTATTGTAAAATTTCACCCAGGGTCATTTTTTTATCGTTGTATCGAGCAGATTTGTCGTTTAACGTATGAACCGGCGCTGGCTTGTGCAACTAGTGAATGATTTTCCACGTGTAATATTAGGTTTAGTCGTAGTTAAATGCTGGATGTTAACCGCGAAAGTATAGGATTCTCCTAGCTTAGGAAATCATATATAAGGAATGTTATGTTTTCCTCAATCTAGTTTCTTTTGCTACCCTAAGACTACCATTTTTGCCATTTAGTTTTGGGGGTGGATTCAAAGGGAATCCAATATAGGATTTATATGTTGAACTCTTAATTCCAGTGTTCAAACTAATATTTACGAGCCAAACAAGATCATATGAAATAAATAACTCTGTTTTAACGGGAAAACTTAATCCCAAACAAAACAGACAACTGACTTCCACAGGAAAGGTGTGAAATTTGAAATATTTTTGAAAATGTACAAACATTGTGGATAATTTCTGTGTTGGTCTTGAGACAAACAAGATTTTTTTATATTTTATTGTGTTACTTTTGTTGCAATTTTGAAGCTGATTAGTCTTTTTTTGTTTGTTTCAGAATGTTCAGTCCACACCAAAGTAAGTATGACTTGTTCTAATGTAATTGTAGGCAAGTGGTTATTTATTGATCAGTTTTCACCTGAGATTTTCCTCTACCTGGTAGACACCTTTAAAACTCTGCTAACATTTGTTCTGAATTTTTTACTTTTATCATTACTTTAAAGGGAGTGGTCTAAAAATTGCAAAACTGTTTTGGAGCAATTTATAGGGCCATTTTGCCTAGACAAAAAAAATGTGTTTCTAGTCAGAAAATTACACGATCAGTTCTTTCAGCAATAATAATACCTTAAATATGATTTGGAGTAATTTGTTTTTTGAGTGAATCATTCTAGGTGATAATTGGTCAATGTTTTGCCCCATTGTATTTTTTCATTTACTGCTTTCAGGAATATGTTCAATATGTCTCGTGCTGTAGTGTCAAGTCAGTTTCCAAGTAAGTTTGGCTGTAGCATCATATTTTGTTGGTTTTAATAAGTGAAGTAATACTGCTACTCTATTCCCTTTGGAATAACCTATTTCTTTGTGTGGGGATGGTATCTTTATTTATTTCTTGTCTCAATAAAGAACTCGTTGTTATTGACCTCAATTGTTTATTCATAACAATAATTGCCTTTTTATGTAATTTTCAGGCATCCAAAAAGATAATGTACAAATGAAGGTGAGTCGCATGTACTGGTTTTCTCCTTGTAAGGCGATGATTAAAAGCCCTTGAAGAAGCTATCCCAAGTCATTTTTTAAAGTTTGTTCAGAAACTGACTTTAGTTTGTAGTGTTCACTTTGCTGTAGCAAATAGTAAATTCCTCTCCATAGAAATGTAGTCCTGTGGTAATACTGCCTAACAGAAGTGTTGGCTTCCTAGCTGCTTTCTTTGCAATTCTTTAGTTAAGGAAGATACAAAAAGCACCTCACGATTTTAGTTAATGATTAACCATTGTTGCATAACTTTTTGCAATAGTTCTTGTTTTGTAGTAAAATGAAAACTGTCTTTGTTGTTGATTGATTTCCCTTTTTTTCTTTCAGGCTTTCCCTTCCTCTCCCATGTTATCTCTGGCCTGCCGAGGCTTTCAGACAAGTTCTCAGGTGCAGGATGTGGATTCTGCTGCTAAATTTATTGGTGCTGGAGCAGCTACTGTAGGTGTTGCAGGTCAGTGAGTTACTTGAAGAGTTCATACTTTGCAACTTATGAAAAGTAGGGTAGAAAACAGACTTTAAAGCAGAAGCCCATTTTGGAACACTTTGACAGTATTGTACTTGCACCATATAATAGTGAGGAGTAGCTGTAAAGCAAGCTTGAACTCAATCATACCAGTGTTTTGTGAAAGGATGTCAGGAAATGAATTATTTGGTGTATTTCATTTGCTGGCTTTACCTTTTAAACTTTTCTATCCTCTGACTTCGGAACTTTTCTTCTCATTCTTCAGGTAGTGGAGCTGGTATTGGTACAGTGTTTGGCAGTTTAATCATTGGTTATGCCAGGAATCCTTCCCTCAAGCAACAACTTTTCTCATATGCTATTCTTGGCTTTGCCTTGTCTGAAGCTATGGGTCTTTTCTGCTTGATGATGGCATTTTTAATCCTGTTTGCCCTGTAAACTGTAGACCTGATCCAGAAGTGATCAATTCCTGCCATTAGTTTTA